ACCTCCAGGGGAGGGGATGGGACCTCTCCAGGTCCGAGCTCTCACACACAGACGGGGGGGGGGTGACACAGCCTGGGCTCCTGGGGGCCGCGGTCCCGGTCCAGGGCCTGGAAGGCACAGGGACCTGCTGGCATCTCAGGAAGTTGAGGCCCCAGCCAGCAGATCTGCCTTAGGCAGGCAGACAAGGGGCAGAGCTGCCCCCCGTGGAGCCGAGAAGCCAGGCTCTCCGGGAGGGGCTGCGGCCCAGGGTTGCCCATCCTGGGCCCTTCCCAGGAAAGTCATGGGTTTGAAGCTGGGCTGGCTCTGCTCTGAGCCACACTCTCTGCTTTGCGGGGTCGTTGGTGGGACCCAGGGGTGAGGGTGGCGTTCGGGATGCCCAGCTGCGCCCCTCCCCCGCACGGTGACCAGACCGAACTTGGTGCTGGCGGCTTAGAGAGCGTCCTGGGCCTGCTGCATGAATGACCCGAGACTGGCCGCCTGAAACCACAGAAACCAGTCCTCTCACGGCTCCAGAGGCCAGAAGTCCAACCTGAAGGTGTGGGCAGGGCCACGCTCCCTGCTCCCTCGGAAGGCCCTGGGGAGGGTCTTTACTGCCCCTTCCAGCTTTCTGGGCTCCCAGCTGCACGGCTCCGGCCCTGCCTCTGTGTTTTCGTGGCTCTGTGTGCAAGCTCCTCTCTTCTTAGGAGGACACCAGTCGGACCGGATCGCGGGCCCACCCTAATCCAATACGGCCTCATCTTAACTGGATTCCATCTGCGAAAACCTGGCTTCCAAACTGGGTCACAGTCACAGGTTCCCAGCAGACACAGAATTTCGTTCAACGCTGTTTAACCCCCAGTATCCCCAAAGCTTGGTCTCTGCTTGACCTCCACCCCCTCCACCCCCGGTTCACCCTCAGGATTGGCTGACTAGTTCAGTCTGGGTCCCTCTGGGCTGGCACTCCCTGAGGTTCTGGGGACGCTCTGGGGGCAGAGTGTTGGCTCACCCTCCTGGGAAGGCAGACAACACCCCAGCCTACAATTCCCACTCGCGGCGCGGAAAAACCCAGCAGCACCCGCCAGGTGGAGGGAGGGCCTGCAGAGGAGCTTCGGATGGGTCAGGAAGGCTTCTCCGTGGAGGCGACACCAGAGCAGAGCCCAAGGGCCAGCAGGAGCTACCACCTGCAGGCGAACTGGTGAGGGCAGAAGCCTGAGCTGCAGACTTGGATCAGGACAGAGGAAGGGCCGGTGTGGCTGGGCAGAGGGCAGCCACCGAGGAGGGAGTGGACGGCGGGGCAGGTGGGGACCTCTCAGCCAGCTTCTAAAGGACTGCTGGGAGAGGGGGCTGTCCAGGAGAGAGGCGGTGGCTGGGATGGCGGTGTGGAGACAGGGCTGCCATCTCTTCTGTGCCAACTCCCCAGCTGTTTCCTGGCTTTGGGGTTTTTGGGGTGTGGCTGGAGGCTGTGGCAGCCCAGGGTTTGAGCCTGCCGAGCACTGGTGGGTCTTGGCCGTGGACGCCTGTCCCCGTGGGGAAGAGATGCCTCGAGGAGGCTGTGGAGCCCTTGTTCCCGAGCCGGTGAGTGGGCCCCACACACGCACTCTGCTGCCCGACGGGTCCTGCCACGTTTCCCAGGCAACTGTTTCAATCTGGCCCGTCTGCCTGGCACCGCACACTCCCACGAATGCCGCTGCCTGGCTGCCAGTGCACTGGCCCGCCTGGCACACACCGGCTGGCAGGTGCAGCCCAGGGTAGCCCACTGCCTGGACTCGCCCGCAGGCCCGGCTCTGGGGAGGAGGCAGCCCAGCGTTCCTGGTGCACTCACCTGGTGAGCAGGCGCAGCCAGGGCAGCCTGAGGGCCGCACGGCGCGAGAGGTGGCAACCCCCACTGTGAGCACGCTGCCAGGGTCACCTAGAAGTCGGAAGGCCACTCTGCTTTCTAGGGCTTTCCAGGTCATGCCTACCAGCCTCAGTCCCTGTTCTTGTTCATCCTTGCCATTTTGACCCCATCTGCAGTGGCCTGATGGCTGAACCAGCCCCCCCACAGTCCGAGGAGGGTGCAGAGCAGCTAAGTGGGGCTTAGACCACACTCCAGCTGGACCCAGGCCAGGGTCTGGCTAACAGGGTTTCCCTGGCTCAAGCTGATGGGGAGCCCCAGCCGGGCTCCTAGGGACATCAGCACTGGCCAGAGGAGCAAGGAACCCATCCCCACCCTGGCTCTGAGAGCACCGGGAGCCGAGACATTTGCTCCTTGGTAGTGGAAGGTGCTGGGCAGGGAGAGGCCCCGGATCGGCTGGCCACACATGCCCAATGCTGGGACGGGCACCTTGGCAGGGAGGGGGTTCTAGGTCATCATCCACAGCATCCTCACTTCCCTGTGGATGAAGCCAGGGAGAGCAGAGAGTGGGCTGCAGCTGGGCTTCAGGGAGGGGCCCCCCACCCCTGCCCCTGGAGCACTTGCTGCTTTGCCCGAAGGGGGCCTCTCGGGAATGGCTGAAATGGTCTTTGTAAACATGAATTTTGGCTCATAAAAATTTGTGTCTGCAGCTCCAGCATCAGAACCAATCAGAAATTATTTTCCAGGGAAGCCCCACTCACCACCAGTCACCTCCGCAGGTGGCTTTCAGTCAGGTTCAACCATTCAGCCTCCAGCCCCAGCACAGCTGCTGCGTCTTGCCCGTGACGCCGGGACAGCTGTGACAAGGTGGGCCCGTGGGTCGGGGTCGTCCGCCCTCCACCTCCAGACGGCCCTGGTGCAGGCAGGGGTGGTGGGGGTGGGGCTTCCTGACGGGCGCCTGCACCTGCCGCACGCCTGGCGCCTCACCCCATCTCTGTACTCCGTGGAGGTGGCCCAGGCCGTGGGTGCCAGCCATGATGGCGGAGCTAATCCCCAGCAGCCGGGTGAAACCAGAGAGGAGAAGCCCCCGGGAGGACAGCTTGTACACATGGCTCCGGTTCGGCTGCCCCCAGAAGGCCAGGCCCCGAGGGCCTCTGTTCTGCCAGTGAGTGCAGGCCTGGCCTGGGCGCCCGGGCTTTGCCCTTGGCAGTCAAGGGCAAACAAGGCCCCCTGGGCTGGCTAAGGCTAAGGAGCAGGGTGCCCCCCCACCTGCTCCTTCCGTGCCATAGGGCACAGCCAGGCTCCATCAGGCCAGCCCTCATCTGGGGCCCATCTGGGACCCCTCCCTGCCAATGCCTTGCTCTGCCCTTCTCGGTCAGGAAGCGGGGCCGTGTGAGGCCTGTAGAGAAGGGGACTGGAAGAGGCAGGAGTGGTTGGGACGCTGAAGACTCCAGGGTCCAGTTCCCAGAGCCCCGTTCAGGCGCAGTAGCTGCTCACACAGATGTCCCCATGCAACTTCCCAGCATGGCCGGAGAGCTGAGTGCACGCTCCCTCTCTGAGGCCCGGCTGTGCCTTCCTCTGCCTCGGGGAGGCCTGGCGCCATTCCCTCTGAGTGTCCCCATGGCCAGACTGCGGACGTGCGGTGGCACCCCCCCCCCCCCCCCCCGCTAAGGCTTTGAAGCTGCCAAAGCTGAAGCCAGGGCCCATGGGCCCGCGTCTGGGAGCCCCTGACACAAGCTGTTTGGTAGTCCTGGGTCTGCCGGACACCTGCACTGAGCCCTGCCCGGGAGGCCTCACATCTGGGCTGCCCTCACCTGGGAGCAGGCCCAGCTGCCAGCCACCTCCTTCAGGGGCTCCTGGGACCACCCTGTGTGGTGGTTCTGCTCGTTTACGCACGTGGGTTCTGTTTTCGTTTGGTTGGCAGGTTCTGAGGGTGAGGACCCCGTCTCCTTCCCCTGGAGGTCTCCAGGATCTAGAACAATCCCTGACACAGCCTGTCCCCGCTGTGGAGGTCTGCACTGGCAACCGGATGAAGGGTGATCTCAGTGCCACAGGCAGATGACCTTGACTCAGGGATGGGGGGCCCTGGGACTGGAGTGCGCAGTGATGGGGGGGTGCCCAAGACCTGGGACTGGAGGAGAGCAGGACAGTGGCTTGCAGAGGGGCCAAGGTGAGGAGGTTGGAACAGGGCTGTGGGAGCCCCTGAGGAAGGGGGTGCAGAGCAGAGCCCCAAAGCTGCTGGGGTTGGGAAGAGCCAAGGAGTCCCAGAACCCCAAGTGACATCTGCTTGTCTATGGAGGGGAGTTCCTGCCACCCAGCCCCCTACACACTCCAGCCCTGGTGAGGGTGGGGGTCACCCAGGGGCCCACCTTGGGGCCCACCGGGCGCAGGCTCTGCAAGATCATGAGCGGCCAAGAGTGCCCTGGGCATCTGCTGCCACCAAGTGGTGGATGGAGTGGTCGCCCGGCCAGAGCACCTGAGCCCTGAGTCTCAGGGAAGCCCCTCAGAGGCCCGGGTCGTGGAGGACCCCCGTGGCACCGGCCCCTGGCCCAGGCCCCCCCCCCCCAGGCCTAGGCTGGCCACCTGGACTTTGTTGCCTCTCTTTTTTTTCTTAACTCTGAAAACCAAGTTCCTCCCCTAGTAGGGAAACACGATCGTCCTAAGAAGGACAGGCCGAAATCCCCTTCCACACAGCTGGAAACTGAGGCTGGGAGCTGTCCGGGGCATCGGGAGGTAGAGGAGCCAGGGCAGGCCTGGACGTGGGGCAGGTGGGCTAACTGAGGGGAGCTGCCAGGGACAGAGGGGGAAGGGACCCTGCGGCCTGACTCTGCGCCCAGTTCCTCCTCCTAAGCCTCTGCAGACCCCAAGCCTCTGGATGACAGCAGATGGGTCCCCCCACATCTCTTCCTCAGCTGGAAATCAGCCCCCTCAGGGCCGGTCGGCCTCCCCCACCTCAGTCCCGCCTCTGGTGCAGGAAGGAACCGTGGCCTGCGTCTCCTCCAACGTGGAGGTCAGGACACCTTCCCCTCCGACAGTGTCACGAAGGGCTCCCAGGAGCAGGCTGTGGGGTGGGGGTGCGTGGCCAGGGGCGGGTTCCAGTGCGCACATGGGAGGGGTCGGGGCGCGCTGGCGGGGGTGGGGGGCGGCCAGGTCCACAGCGCACTTGAGACAGGAGGTTGGCGCGGGGATGGGTCGGCGAGGGGCGGGGCGGGGTCTGGGTCGGGGGCGTGGTCCCCGGCGGGCCGCTCACTTCCGCCGGACGCGCGGCTGGGGGCGGATGGAGGCGGCGCGGAGGCCGCGGTCGGGGCTGCGCAGCCGGAGGCCGTCCTCGGGGGCCGGGTGAGGCCGGGGGCCAGGGAGTTGGTCGGGGGGAGGCGTAGGGGGGGGCTGGCCGGGGGCAGGGGGGAGGCCAGTGTCCCCCGGCCGCCCCGGGGCCCCGCACCCACGTGTTTCCCGGAACCCGACTCGGTCCCCCCCCCCCGCCGGGTCCCCCGCTGAGTTCTCCCTCACCCCCCCCAGCGGCCGCGGGGGGCCCCTCCCGGGGGATGGCGGCGAGTGCGCGCGGCCGTGGGCGGAGCTGCTGCGAGCTGGGAGCGCGGATCTGAGCCCCGACGGAGAGCTGCCGTCGCTGCCCGCCTTCCCCGGCCCGGTGCGTAGTGGGGGGGCCCCCAGGGCGGCCGGGTGTGGAGTGGGGCGGGCGCCCTGGCCGGGGAGGCGTCCGGGCGCCGCTGACGCGGCCCGACGACCCCGTTTGGCAGGAGCCCGGCCGGGGTCCCGAGCGCACCGCGCCCCCCGAGGTGTTCACCGTGGGAGCCCGGACCTTTTCCTGGACGCCCTTCCCACAGGCCCCGAGGGGAGGCGGGGACCCAGGCCGTTCCTACCGGGTGCTGCTTGGGGCCCGGGGACGCTCGGGGTCCCCTGCCCGGTCCCCGCAGCGACGCCCCGCGCCTCAGCCCCGCGGGATCCCCGGTCCCCAGGAGCAGCTGTGGGAGGCGACCCTGCGGAGCTGCCCCATGTGCCAGGCCAACTTCGCCCCCAGGTGAGCGCGCCCGGGCCAGGGCCTCCATTCCTCTCCGCTCACCCCAGCCCTGTTTGGGAACCACAGCCACGTTTAGAAGGCCGAGGGGTGCTTGGGCTCAGCTTCGGCCTCTTCAGGTGGTAGTTGGTGCCTGCAGAGTTTGCGGGGCGCAGTGACTGAACCCGTTAGCCAGTCGGCGCAGGTGTATGGTCTGGGGGTCCACCGCTCACTCATCCTTTGGAGCCCCGTGGACAGCCGGCAGTCTCCCTGGAGCCCCACCCCTAAGTCACAGGGAACCTGGTGGTGACCGCCATCGCCAGGCTGAGGCTCCTCCAGGGCCCCCCCAGGCTGTGGGTCGCCAAGCAGTTTCCTGTTTTAAAGTGCTCCACCGGTATCTTCCTAGGGGTAGGTTTTAAAAATGAAGACTTTTTGTGCCTAGAGATGCTGTTTTCCTTCAAGAACTTGTTGTTTATCTTTATATTCCTTTTTTAAAAAAAGACGTATTTACATATTTTACAGAGACAGGGAGTGCAGATGGGGGGGAGGGGCAGAGGGCGAGGGACCAAGCAGTCTCCCTGCTGAGCACGGAGCGTGATGCAGGGCTCGATCCTACGACCCCGAGATCACGACCTGAGCTGAAACCAAGAGTCAGACGCTTAACTGACTGAGCCACCCAGGTGCCCCTCTTTATATCGTTTTCTAAGTAAGGGGAATGGAATCCAGTTTTGCTGAGATGTTAAACCCAAACTGCCAGCCTGTCGGCCATGTTGTTGCACAGGTAAGGACACAGGTGTGGGGGTCAGAGGGCTCAGGTGTAGTGAACGGACAGTAGATTTCAGTAAGTGCGCCAGCTCCAGATTTCCGGTGGCTGAGCAGTGGTGTGCAAGTCACAGGCCGCGTCTCTGGTCCTCCAGAAGCAAACACCATCCTGGACAGTGAGGGCGACGGAGCTGACGGCAGACCAACCGCTCTCAAACCCCTGGTTCGGATGAGCACAGAGGCTGCCCACGAAGGTCTTTTGATCCCGTTGTGATCCTGTCGGTCGGTGGTCAACTGTCGGGGCTCCTCCAGTCTGCACCGCTGTTATGGGAACAAGGCTTTGAAAGCCCGGTGTTGGGGTGAGCCCAGTACCTCCATATTTACCTCCTCGAGGTGCCCACACAGCCCAGGGCTGGGGAGGCAAGAGCGGCCTGGTTTGGGCGAGGCGGTGGCTGTCCCGCATGGGGACAGGGACAGTGCATGTGGGTGAAGCCCCGGCAGGACAAGCCGGGCCTGGAGGAGGTGGCTCAGTGGCCCACGGGAGCACCGGGGAATTGGCAGAATGTTCCCAGACCCAGCATCTCACTGCATTTCCTCTTGCCTGTTTCGTGTTTTGGGATGGTTGTGAGTTGCAGATACTGACCGGCTTGCTAGTTCTGAGAATGTGGTGAACACTCTAAAAACCGGGGTCTTTCTGACTCACGCCTAGTCCACGAAGCCCAGGGGCGGAGGACGCCACTGCAGGCCCTGGCGGGAAATGTGTTTTCTTGGCAGAAGCTGTCAGGGTGCCCCACCTTTCCTCCTCTTCGGAGGGGGCTCGTCCTTGGGATGCTGGTGTTTCTACACAGTCTAAGGGAAAGATTCCCGATGACAGAGACGGGGAAAAAAACTGCAGTTTTGAGTTTCTTAAGCAATTAAATTAAGGCTTGGCAGAGTGCCTCATTTTTCCCAAAGTAGGTATCAGTGCAGTGGGGTCCAGGCCTCAGCATGTCTGAAATGCTCGTAGCGCATTCTTCCATGTGACTGCAAAGGAGAGGGTCCTCGGGCCAGGACACACCCCTCAGGTCTGCGCAGTGACTGGGGAGACACAGTCGCTGCAAACAAAGGCGCGGGCCCTTGGTGGGATGCTCAGGACGTGGGGCAGGGAGACAGCCTGGGCCATGGGAGGGTCCGGTGTGGCAGGTGCACGCAGTAACTAAATGTCGGACTGTCTTGTGACTTTCCCTAGAAAACTGTCAGCTTTTAGTGATTCTTGGGAGAAATTGTTTTAATATATGATATCTTTTATTTAAAAGAATATTTTTAAGTAAGCTCTACAGCCAGCATGGGGCTTGAACTCCTGACCCCTGAGGTCAAGAGTCACATGCTCTGCTGACTGAGCCAGCCAGGCGCCCCACTTGGGAAATTTTTGACTCAGAGACTGAAGCTGCGCTCTGCCCTTCTGACAGGCCACGGGGGCAACTGGTGACCCAAGGGCTTCTGGTGACAGGTGTGCTTTGGGGACAGGGCGCTGTGGGATGAGCGCACTGTTCTTCTCAAAGCCTTAGCGTTTCCAGGGCACTCAGGACGGCTTTATTCTGTGATGCGACGGATGGTTACGTGGTGGATTCGACAAACGGGGTGTGAAACCCCGTCCCCTCGCTGCTGAGTTGGCGTGTTCTGTGGGCTCAGGAGGCGGTTGGGAGGATGGGCTCCCACGGGCCACTTGACATGGGGATGGGGAAGCCAGAAGCTGAGCTGTGTCCCATGTGTGCCAGGGGAGCCTGGCTTGTTGGCACTGTGCCAGCTCGGGGCCCTGGCGGGTTGCTGTGTCTGAGGCAGACGCCCGGAGGCTCTTGGTCCGAGTCTCTTGTCCTGCAACCGCACCGACGGCCACACACGGGGCTTCGATGTGACGGAAGGCAGGCCCGTCTTGGGCCAGCTGCTGCAGAAACTGCGTGTGGGACAGGGCTGCCGAGACCAAGTTCGCTTACTCGGGGGAGGTCTGAAGGGTCCCAGCGGGTGCCCCCCCAACCCGAGGGATACCACCTGGAAACCCCAGACAGGGTGACCCGGTCCAGACCTTAGAATCTTCTGGCAGCCTTGGAGAGAGCAGGCAGGGGCCCCAGGGACTTGGGAGCACACTGACCAGCCCTACGAAGTCTGAGAGGGCAGCTCACGGCCACCAGAAGGGGCACAGGCACCCAGAGCAGCAGGGCGAGAGGCGGTGCGTGCCCCACACCGTCTTGCAGTGATGCTCCAGGGACGGGCCTTTCTACTGTGGTCTCTGAACTTGGCCAGCTGAGCAGGATGGCTCTAGATCGGACAGAGGAAGGGTCACATCTTGGGAGGTCTCTGAGGCTAGGGAGAAGCCATGTGGGCAAACCCGCCTCAGAGGCCATGGCGCAGAGGCGTCTCCAGCGGGACCCATGGTGACGAAGGGGGTGTCTGCTCTGTCAGCTGCTAACAGAGGCCCCAGGGGCCCCACTGGGGAAGGCCGCGGGGGCAAGACTGGTGCGCTGAGCTCCGCTCTGTAAGGGCAGGTGGGCCCCTGGCCACCGTGACACGTGCCGGCCTGGGACAGGCTGTGGGGGACATTTAAGTCCCAACAGGAAGGGGGTCATCACCCATGCTGCCAAGCCCAGGGAGATACAGGGAGGCCTGGGCCCGTCTGGAGCATAAGGGTTGCGGGAGTGGGGTCTGGACTGGCCTTGGCCGATGGTAGGAGGCCGAGGAGCTGAGGGCAGGCCAGCCGACGGGTGGACACAGGAGCGTTGCCGCTTGCAGCCAGTGGGCCCGGCCGCGTTGTGGGAGTGTGTCCCCCAGCAGTCCTGCTGAGCACCCCAGCTCTGCCACTCTCTGGGGCACAGCCAGAAGCTGCCCACCCACAGCTCTCAAGCACAATGGAGATGGTCCTGCCTGGCCCTCCCTCCTTGATGGGGTCAGATGAGATCAGGGATGGAAAGTGCTCTGTGCCACGAATCCAGACCCCTCTCCACGCCCCACTGGACACCGAGAGGCCAACCCACAGGCCTTGGAGCCCCCAGAGCTGTAGATTGGCAGCCCAGGCTCACTGAACTCCCTCCCTAAGGGGGCTTGGTCCCTCCACGTCAAGAAAACAATCTCAGACCTGAGCTGCACACCCTCCTTCCACCCACTTCACTTCCCTGCGTCTCCGGACAGACAGTGAGTGTGCTCCCGGGGTCCCAGCCTTCGTGCTTTTCCTTTTTGGGGGGCCAAGTGGGGTGGTTTTCGTAAGAGAGGACGTGACCCTCTGACGGACCCCTGACGGAGGCCCAGCTGTGGGCAGCCTGGGGAGCAAGGAAGGGCCGCCCTCGACCTTGGGGCCCTGCAGAGGAGCTTCTGACGCTGTCCTGTGCACCGCCGGGCGGGCTTTCAGGCTTCAGGACAAGCAGTTCAGTGGGAGCTGTGAGGTTCAAGCCGAGTGGGTTCCAGAATCCCTGGGAGGCTCATCCTGACACAGGGCGCCCCCCTCCCCCCAGACGCAGGCGCCTGGGTGAGCCTTGAGAACGTGTGTCCAGGTGCGCTGAGCGCCTGGCCCAGAGAAACAGCCCTGGGGAACAGGATTTGGGAAGGCCTGTTCTGGCTCGTGTGGCCCCCCTGGACCTTCCCCCCGTTTCTGACCAGCTATGGAGACCGTCGCAGGGTTCTCTCTGAGCTTTGGTGAGGTGGTCACACCAGGGAAGGGCGTGAAGGTGCGCGGTGGGTGCCCCGGCCAGGTGGCGTGTGGTCAGTGCTCCCGTGCCTGGGTGACTGTCTCCTCCCTCTTGCAGTCTGACCCCACTGGACATTGATGGCCACCTTGCTCAGTGCCTGGCGGAAAGCACGGAAGACGTGGCGTGGTGAGCCTAGCCAGTGCGGAGGCCCAGCCTCCCCCTGCTGGAACCGTGTCCTCTCTGTCATGGAAGCCACGTGTTAAAACGTCAGTGTGGACTCCTGGTGTGGTGTGTTTGTATCGGGACTGAAACCCGGGCTCCTCTCCCTTTTTGGCTGACGCTAAGCAGAGTGCTCTCCTGCCATCCAGAATGGACAGAGTCGTCACTCAGCAGAGGGACCAGGCCCAGGTGGATGAGCTGAGACTCAAGCGCAGAACTGGCCACGTCTGCGGACAGGCGGGGGCAGCACGTTTTCCTGCCTCCGCAGACCCCGCTCACACCGTGTTTTAATTCCCCAGATGAAGTGCTCATTACTCAGTGTCGGCCACCCACGGGTGGGCGGGGATTTAAGGGGCGGGATCGGGCCAGGCGCCATCGCAGTGGGCAGGCCAGTGTGCCAGAACATTCCACATCAGCCAGGTGTTGTTGGGCTTCCGGGACCAGTGGAAAATGGGGCACAAGAGCACCCAGAGGGTAGCTCTCCTTCCAGTGCTGACAGCCCACAGATTCTGGAAGAGCTGGGCTTTCGTGGCACCCACCGTGGCTGCAGAGCAGTGGCGGCGGGGAGTGGGTCACGAGCCACGAAGACACCATGGAGGAACCTAACTGCACGAGACTAAGGGAAAGACGCTAGTCTGCAGACCGCCTGCTGCATGACCCCCTCCCTGTAGGGGCTTCTGGAAAAGGCAAAACTACAGAGACAGTAAAGAGACCTGTGGTCACCCACAGACGGGCACACAGGACTTCGGGCAGTGAGGCCACTTTGCACGATCTGCACTGGTGGGTACATGTCATCATTTTGCCCAAACTGCGCTGCGCCCCCAAGATGTGCACCGAGCACCCTGGGGACGATGATGGTCTGTGCGGTTCGTCAGTGGTCACAAGTGGCCCCTGGGAAGGGAGGGTGGGGGTGGGGGTGGGGGTGGCGGTACGTGGGGGCAGGGGCACTGGGAAATCTCTGCAGATGCCCCGCAATTTTGATGTGAACCTAAAACTGCTCTATATAAAGTCTATTTTTTAGAAGACGCTTTCCAGGGCGCCTGGGTGGCTCAAGTCGTTAAGCGTCTGCCTTCAGCTCAGGTCATGGTCCCGGGGTCCTGGGGTGGAGCCTCACGTCGGGCTCCCTGCTCAGCGGGAAGCCTGCTTCTCCCTCTCCCACTCCCCCTGCTTGTGTTCCCTCTCTCGCTGTCTCTGTCAAATAAATAAAAATCTTAAAAAATTTTTTTTCTAATTCTGAGCATCCTTATTACCGATAAAAATATTTTTTTGAAGATTTAATACAAGATATCACGGAGCTTAGGGTTTGCAGAAATATTTGTGCAGATTTCGTTTTCAACTTCCTAACACTTTTTGGTCTCCGGGTGCTTCGGTGAGCAGCGTTAGAATCCAGGATCCGTCTGGATGCCGCGTGGCCCCCGCACTGGACCATGGCAACACACGGGTGTGACATACGTGTTAAATATTAACAACAGAAACTTACCGGGATTTAGAAAATGTTCCAAATTTGTAAATTCTTCATCGCAGTGCATCCCCGTGGGCACTCGGACTCCCATCCCTAGTCCCCAGCCGCCACTTGGCGCACGACCCCGCCCGCTCCGGGGCCTCCGGGTGGGTGTCGCACGCGGAAAAAAGGCACCAGGGAGGCTTCAACATCATGGGCACATTTTATTCCTCAGGACATTACAGGCTAACTCTCCTGGCGGAGCAGGTCAGTTCTGTTTCTGTGGAAAGTGTGCACCTTCGAAATCGTGGGGCAGTTTCTCCCTCGGACACGGTCACCGCGGGTCCTCCGCGGCGCAGGCACAAGAAGCAAACTCCTCCATCACGAAGCCGGCCGCGCGGGCCCAGACGCCAGACTGTTCCGCTCCGAGAAGCGCCGGCTGGACGCCCCGTCCGCGGTCTCAGCGGCAAGTGTCCCTCCTGGCCGCGCTTGGAGCCTTGCGCCCAGCCTGGCATGCATGCGCTGTGGTTAAGGATAGAGTGAAGGGGTCATTCACAGACGTGTCCATGACAGAGAAGACAGCCTCACACGGACTCCTCGGTGGAGAGCAGTAACGGGTTGATGTACTCGAAACCTTCAAACTCAGACTGGTCGATCCTCTTTATGACGTCCCTGTGTGCACAGGCAGAGCACAGGGACTGCTGTCAGCCCCTGCCCCCGCAAGCCCGCGGCCGACCCGGACAGCGCAGACGGCGGACAGGGCGTCCCGACCCTCCTGGCCGCCCCCCCCCCCACCGCCGCCCCCAGGCCTTACTCATCATCTGGGGTCAGCTGCACGGGCTCGCTGGTGAACTGGGTGTCGAAGTTGTCCAGACCGTACTCGTCGGTTATCTGGGGCTGGAATGGCGGAAGGGCCTGCTTCTTCTCCAACTGGGAAGAACAAGGCAAGAAGTCAGACTGATACTGTTTGTCATCTCTTGGGTTTTCGCAGGGACTTAAACCACAGAACGGAATAGGAAGACACTCCGTGTTTAAACATGTCCTGTATTTGAAGGCTAGTTTTCTCTTCCCTTAAAACAAGTCTAGGAGAAAGCATCTAAAGCCAGAAAAATCCTGAGTTTAGAAATGCTGGCAGCGCGGGCCACGTGGGCCCTGTACCCAGGACAGAGCCAGCTGGGCGTCTGCACCCACACAGCCCGGCCCCTGAAACCAAACCAGGCTGGTCTCGGGAGTGTTTTCTTTCCTACAACTTGGAACCCTGGTCGTAAAGGAGCTCGGACTCGGCAGGGACGCCGCTGCCCACGCCGCTGCTTGGTGAGACCCTGTCCCGCCGGGACCTTCCTCGCCGAAAAGCCGTAACTGACCCTCTGTTTCTAATCACAAGGGATGCTCGTCAGGCAGGAAACAGGGCTTCTCAGGATCCAGACTCTGACTTCCAACTTACCCTTTATGGGGCTGAGACATGCTTGTGCCAGAGGGTGGAGTGCCCAGGCCAGGGACCCCTCAGCGGCATGTCACACGGGCGAGGACAGTGAGGGCCTGCTCGCTCAGTCCCTCTATGACACACGCAAGCCTCCCCCCTGCCCCCACCGGGTGTGTGCTGTGCCCGTGTTGGGCCAGGCACGTCCCCGAGAACACTGAGCCATGAGCAAGAGACACGGGCCCCTGCCCCGTGGAGCCATCGCGTTGGGTCCCCTCCCTGCCACATAACCACGCGTGAGGCCAAGGGAGAGGAAGCACGCAGCACGCTGCCCAGGCCTGTTGGGCCCTTGGTAGGGCTGAGCCTGGACACGCCTGCCCGCATGGGGCTCCACACGTCCCCGCACAGGCCGTGGAACTGTCCAAGGCCAACGTGACGAGCTGTTCCAGTTACAACAGAAGCAGAGTAGGCGTGGAACGTGAGCGGCTCAGGCCCCACTTTGGCAAGTGGAGGACATGGGGGTGTCCCAGACATGGACAAGTCCTTCCCGCCGGCTGCCCAACATGCACAGCGATGTGGCTGGCACAGCATCCGGTCCCCGGGCAGGAGAGGGCATGTGGCAGAGAGGACGGGCTGTCCCTGCAGGCAGAGTGGGTCACCCGTGTGCGTGGGGACCAAGGCCCTGTCCTTGTTGCTTCTCACCTTTTATACACAATTACCCGTGTTCTTTTATATGCAATCTTTTCTGATAAAAAGTTGGGCGGGGGACACGTCTTAAGCCATTTCCCCACCTTAGGTCTCAGCTGCTTTAAGATTTAAATAGCAAGTCGCAGCAAACCCAAGGAGCAAGTGGAGCTGGGTCTGAAGCAAGAAGCTCTCCCGGGATCCTCCACACCCACCCCCATCCCAGGGCCCCATCCTCTGGTCTGAGGGCGTGAGGCTGCTCAGCCTCCCTCTGAGCGTTTCACAAGCGTCACCTCCTTTCCTCAGTCAAAAGCAGTGAGCAAGAACAGTGCCACCTGGATGCCGCCCTGGGACAGGCCACCGCTGGGCAGAGTCGGTGTGAGCAGAGAGGATGCCGGAAGGGACATGCGTGGCGGCCAGGCAGGCTCCAGTTCTGAGGGCCTGAAGGAGGCAAGGGTGGTGGGCTGCCCCGCAGAGGGTGCTGGGGGCCTCGGGGGCTCCGTGAAGCCTGAGAGGAAGCAGGAAGTCCCTGGACAGAGGAGGCTGCCACTGGCAAGGCTGGGCAGGGAGCGGTCCCGTCCTGCGGGGGGGCAGAGGCCCAGACACTGGAGGCTGAGTGTCTGAGGACTGGGTGGGAGAGGCAGAGTGCGGTCCAGGGTGACCGCATCTCCCAGCGGGCTTCTCCTGTCCGCTAGTCCCTGTTTCCCCAGCTCCGGGTGATGAGCCCCCCCACCAGATGTGTGCGAGGCAGAAGACTGTGCTGGACCCTGCTCTCCCGGCAGTGGGGGCAGCGAGGGAATTCCAGGAGCCGCCCTGTGAGGGCAGAGGGACCCCAGCACCCATTTTATCAAAATGCTTCTTTCCCTCCACTATCTGTACGTCCCTCCCACCGAAAACAGCATCCCCTCGAGCACCGCGGGCCGCCTCATGCAGTACATGTCCTCTCGCTCAGGCACATCAGCGACGGCAGCGGCCGAGCGGGTGGTCACTCACTCCGCAGAGCCGAGGGGGGGCCCACAGGCCCCCATGTCCCCTAGGGGACCACCTGCGCCTTCCTCGACCGACTGGGGTCTGGATGTGGCTTATGAATGTGTACACTGCTCGTAGAAGAGCACCCTCATCATTTCACACGCACGCCATCAACCCTTGGCCCTCTGATCACGGCAAATGCAGGGTGCACTTGAGAACAGTGTTTCCAGCAAGGATGCACTGACCAGAGATGGCCAGATGCCACCCTCAGCGGATGCAGCGTCACAGGCCACTGAGGACTCTCACCGAGGCCCGGCATCTGGCTAGAGCCCCGCGACAGTGGGCGAGGTATCTACGAAGGCCTTTTCCAGCTCAGCGGGATGACACCTGCCTAGCGAGTGCTGGGGGCTGCGCTTTGCAGAACCCCTGAGGCACTGCCGTGGGCTCGGCCCGTCAA